GTTTACACCCAGTTTGAAGCTTGCAGGAGACAGCTGATCAATGATTCTTGCTCATCAATGATTCTCTCTGATCTCTTGATAATTCTCTCTCTCTTCCTTTCCTGGCAACTCCAGCCACTCCTGCAGAGACCTTCCCAGGCAGGCACTTCTCCCCGATGCCCACAAGCACCTTTGTCTTTGGGTGCATTTTAGTGAGAAATGGGACCTATAAGAAGCCACTGACTCTGCTACAGGGAGGCAGGTGCTGTGGGCACTCAGATCTCATTGTGGTGGGCCCCACATGGGAATGTCCAGCAGATACACTGGGGCTCCCTGAGTCTCAGTGGCTGAATGTGACATGCAGATGATTGATGGCCCTTACTCTGGCCTTCCAAGATCAATAAAGTAACAAGCTGAGTACTTGTTACCAGGGTTAGATTTTTGAGGATTTTCTCTTTTAATTCTCACAACAACCTGGGCAAGTGGAAACTCATATCAAGTTGCTGAAAAATTCAGTATCAGAGAAATGAAGTCAGCTCCCCAAGTTTACACCATAGACAAGTGTCAGATTCAAGGGGCTGGATTTTAACCATTGTTTTCTCCAGCGTCAGACACAGTCTCTACCGCTGATGTGCAGCCCTCACTGGAGCAGGCACAGTATGAGGTCCAGGGTGGCTCAGCTGCAGCTCCTGTTTCCATGGTTGCAGTTATGCGTTTCCTCCTGTTCCCTTTACATCTCAGAGGACTTACTCTTTTTTTTTTTTAAAGTAAGTCTTTGTGTTTTATTTTTTTTTCTCTTTCTTTTTTTTTAATTTTTTTATTACAAAGGGTATTACATACGTGTCCATTTTTTCCCCCCGCCCTAGACAGTCCCCTAGCCTCCACTATCCCCCAGTGTCTTATGTCCATTAGTTATGCTTATATGCACACTTACTCTTGGTCTCCCCATGTTCAGGAGAACGCCATCATTTCTCAGCTGCAGTGGTTTCTCCAGGGGAACCTGCTTTCAGAGTGAGCTGCTGTTTGTCTGCCTCCCCTTTGATGCCAGCACAGAGTTTGACCCTCAGGAGACCTCAGTAATTTGGTCTGGGCCTCTGCACTTGTGCCCACATATATTGGGTGTCTGACTGTGATCCCATCCACTGTGATGAATTTTGTGCCTCAACTTGACCCTTTAAATGATGTTCCTATGTGGTACTGACATTCACCCTGCAGGTTGGAAGTGATGCTGGAGTCCTACATGATCCTGGTCTCATTGGATGGGTGCTCACCTCTTATTCATGCATAGGACCCACTGCCCATGTGATTCTCTCCTGTATATCCCTACTGGCTGAATGAGACAATGGCTCTCACCATGTTTTCCCTGCAGCCCGGATCATGTTCTGGGTTCACATCCTCCTTCCCAGTCTCCTGTGTGTGCACCATGGAGCTTGGGTTGACAAAGTCCTTATGAATACAGGCCCTCACCGCAGTGCATAGCACACGGGGCCACAACTGAGGTGCTTACGGTGCTTTACCTGACAATACACCCTAACTGACTCTCCACACACATTTTTTTTTAATATATTTTTATTGATTTTTTTACAGAGAGGAAGGGAGAGGGATAGAGAGCTAGAAACATCAATGAGAGAGAAACACCGACCAGCTGCCTCCTGCACACTTCCCACTAGGCATGTGCCTGCAACCAAACCACATGCCTTTGACCGGAATTGAACCTGGGACCCACCCTTCAGTCCGCAGGCCAACACTCCATCCACCGAGCCAAACAGGTTTTGGCTCCACACACATTTTTTACCGTAGGTGAAGGTGGCTTTTGAGGTGAAGGTATTTGCCATTTTGGTCAGTTACTCCATTTTTCGAGTTGTTTCCATGTAAAGTATACAGGTTAATAACTTTTTGGTTGTTTTCCCCCTGTTAATCTATATTTTATCTATTTAATTATTAGGCCATCCAAAGAACCTAGAAAAGAAGGAAATATTATTTTGCTTCTACAGTATCATTTCCCTCACTTTCTTCCATTGAACTCCAAAGAATAAAGGAATTCTGTTAGGGTTTGTGCCGAGATGTGGGCTGTGGAAGAATTCACACCTAAAAGAAGAGATGCAGAGAGGAAGTTTATTTTACTTTCCAAGAGAGGAAGGGGCCTGTATTGCTAGTCACTACAGGGCAAGGAAGAAAGGGTGGCTTCTGCTTTCCAGAAGTGCCTGTTGCTAAGGGACAAAGAATGGAGGGGCCTTGGGCTGAGCTGAAGGTGCGTAGATATGAGGGGCTGACTTTTAAAGGTACTGTTTCTTTGCTTTCCAGGAGAGAGTCTGGAAAATGCCTTACTATTTTTCCCAAGAGTGTAAAATATGCTTAGAGCAAAAATTATGAAGAGTTCAAAAGAGGCTTGTTTGAAGGGGTGGCGGGGAAGAAACTTTCTACTAACTAGAGACACCTTGATGCAAATTATCCCTGAGGTGTGACAACAGCAGGGAGGAGGGGCATACAAGAATGTAGCCTTGACAGTAGCTTATCTTGTTCTGCAGTTTGAACAGAGCAGGTATTTGAATTAGAAGAGCCAACAATCTTGGAGTTTAATTAGCAGGTGCTTTTCATAAATTGTGGAAGGCCACAGAAAAGAAACAGGGAGACCTTTTTCTTGTCCTTACAAATACCTAACCACATTTAGAACCAAAGGCTTTATTGACCTGAAGAGTGACTACTTCTAAGAGACCAAATAAAAAGACATCCGCAATATTGGGAGCATTGTGTTCAGGAGGACATCAGCAATGGGTCCCAGAGGAAGGAAACCATTCATTGCATTTTCTACTCAACCCACAGGTTCTAACTCAGTGATGGCGAACCTTTTGAGCTCGGCGTGCCAGCATTTTGTAAAACCCTAACTTGGACCCTTCAATCCACAGGCTGGACGCTCCATCACTGAGCCAAACCGGTTAGGGCTGTGTCTATTTTTTTTTTTTTTTTTACTTTTTATCCAATCCCAGAGATTTCCCTCCTCAGCCCACCCCCCTAATTTATCACCTGTGAATGTCATGTAATCCCCTTATGTCTCCTCCTTTGAGTATAATGTATAAAACAGGTGCAAAACTACCATTCTCCTAAGCATTACTCAATGTGTTCTTATTTTACTTCCTGGAAATTGTCGCCGGATTGGGTCACATAAACTTAGAAAAATCCTCACAGGTTTGGACATTTATTACAACAACACCAAATGCAATTGACTCATTTGAAGCAGGAGAAAGTTACGTGGAGGGTTATCAGCATTTCCAGGCACCCAGCTGACTGAAGACAGATTTATAAACACAAATTTAGAGCAGACTCAGAACACAGAAAGCTAGAGCTTTCCGTTGCTTTCAGAGAACAGAAAAAAAATGTGCAAGACTCAGTTGACTCTGTGTGTGTGTGTGTGTGTGTGTGTGTGTGTGTGTGTGTAATCCTCATCCACGGATGTTTTTCTTTTTTACCCTCCCTGACTTCCCTTTTAGATTCTGCACTCAGTTCCTTGCTTCCGTGTCTCCGCATTCACTTCATTCATCGGTTTATTTTATTAGATTCCACATATGAGTGAGATCAAGTGATACTTGTCGTTCTCTGACTGACTTACTTAGCATGATGCTCTCCAAGTGCCTGCATGCTGTCTGAAAGGGTAAGAGATTCTTCTTTTTTACCACTGCATAGTATTCCATGGTATAAATGTACCAAAGGTTTTTTTAATCTAATCTGATGGGCACTGGAGCTGTTTGCAGATCTTTGCTATTGTAAATTGTGCTTCTATGAACATACAGTTGCATATATTCTATCTGATTGTTTCACGTTTCTTAGGATTTATTCTTAGAAGTGGAATCACTGGGTTGAATGGCAGTTCCATATTAAATTTTGCGAAAACTCCATACTGATTTTCTATAATGGCTCCACTAGTCTGCATTCCCTCCAGCAGTGTACTAGGGTTCTCTTTTTTCCACATCCTTGCCAGCCCTTGTCATTTGTTGATTTGTTGATGGCCGCCATTCTGACAGTTGGGAAGTGGTCTCTAATTGTTGCTTTAATTTGCATCTCTCTGATGATCAGTCACTTTGAGCGTTTTTTTCACATGTCTCCTGGACATCTTATCCACACTGCAGCCCAGGCAGAGCTGACAATTCTAGTGGCATCAGAAGCAGATGCTCTTAAGTATGAGTGTCTGTTTTGTGACATAAACTTTGTATAATGGATTCAGTGGAGGCAGGTTAAGGCAGTTAGAGACTTGAGCAACCTCCCCCAGCTACATTTGGGCTGAAGGAGACACATGCCAAACGTCATGAATGAAGAAACAATGCCTGCCATTCAGAAAGAGCAGGTCCTGAAGAAAGATATGCAAAACCAGCCCCGCAGATGCTGGAGAAACAAACTTGCCCCTCCATCACCTCCACTGAAGGCGCTAGAGGAACCTTAGTGTACTTGGTGTGTTCTTGGGCTATTTGCGCCTAGATCCAGTCCTTTAGTCAGCTGAGAAATACGGCACCCTGGCCTTGGAGCGGAGAAACTACATTACCCACAAGGCCAAGCATGGAATGTCACCAGGCTGAGCCAATGGGGGCTCAGAGAAGGCATTTCCGTTCGGCCGCTTCTGTAGGGCGGGACCGGTAGTCCTCTTGGCGGCTTTTGATTTTTCAAGTTCTTGTCTCAGGCGGTCGGGAGTTCTTGGGCTCAGAGTCTCGTGGAGAAGGCCGGAGGGTGGTGCTCCCGCCTCACAGCCAATGGTGGGAGCCTCCAGTGGTGTCACAGCTCACACTTCGGATTGAAACTCCGAGTCGGCACCCGAACCCACGCCAGGGCCGGGACGGGGCCGCCATTCCTGCAGCGGCTTCTACTCCCGCCCGTCTCAGCCCACAGAGGGCAATGGCGGCGCCCCCGCTGAGGAGACGGGCTGAGGTGAGTTCAGACCCCAGGCCCTCACCGCCTCCTCACACACACACACCACAGCCTGGGGAGGGCGCCTGTCCCGTCCTGCAGCTCAGTCCCGCGTGGAGGACCGTGAGGGAGGTGGAGTGGAGGGAGGAGAG